CTAAAAAAATAGAAGCTCTGAAGCCAGACTGCCTAAGTTTGAATCTTGGCTCTGCAAAAAAATTTTCTTTTTTTTTTGAGCCCTTTGTAGCCCAGGCTGGAGTGCAGTAAAAAAATCTCAGCTCACTGCAAGCTCCGCCTCCCAGGTTCATGCCATTCTCCAAAAAAAGCCTCCCGAGTAGCTGGGACTATAGGCGCCCGCCACCACGCCCAGCAAAAAAATTGTATTTTTAGTAGAGATGGGGTTTCACCGTGTTAGCCAGGATGGAAAAAAACTCCTGACTTTGTGATCCACCCGCCTCGGCCTCCCAAAGTGCTGGGAAAAAAAGCGTGAGCCACCGCGCCCGGCCTCTGCTATTTCTTAATGGGGTAGTAAAAAAAAAATTATGTACCTTCTTTAAATTTTTCATCTCAAAAATCACGATAAGAGTGCCTACACTTCATGCAGTCATTCTGTGAATATAAAAACTCTAAAACCAAAAAAAAATTAGAATGGTGATTTGCACTCAGGTTTGTTTGCTATAATTATGTTAGCCAGGGTAACTAAATGAACAGTGATGAAAATGAGATGAGAATACAGAAAGCTAAAAAAACTCAGACGATAGAAAATGGTGAGTTCACTTTTGGACTTACTGAATCAAAAAAATCTGGCAAATGATAGTCACCTAGTGATATATGTTGAATAGTGACAAATAAGCAGATTTTTTTTTTTTTTTTGAGACAAAGTGTCGCTCTGTCGCCGGCTTGGAAGTGTCGGATGGCCGGATCTCACGCTCACTGCAAGCTCCGCCTCCCGGGTCTTAATCATTCTCCGCCTCAGCTCGCCGAGTAGCTGGACTAGCAGGCCTCCGCCTACCTCGTCCGCTAGTGATTTTTTGTATTTTTAGTAGAAACTGGGTTCACACACGTTAGCCAGGTGGTCTCGATCTCCTGACCTCAGTGATCCGCATCCGTCTCGGCCTCCCAAAGTGCTGGGGATTACAGCCTTGAGCACCGTGCCCGCCAGACTTTTCTTTAAAAAAAAAAAAACAATATAGCCGGGCGCGGTGCTCACGCCTGTAATACCCCCAGCAACTCTGGGGAGGTCGAGACGGGACGGATCACGCAGGTCAGGAGATCGAGACCATCCTGGCTAACATGGTGAAACCCCGTCTCTATTAAAAAATGCAAAAAACTAGGCGGACGAGGTAGCGAGCTTCTGTAGTCCCAGCTACTGGGGAGGCTGACGCAGGAGAATGGCGTAAACCCCGGAGGCGGAGCTTGCAGTGAGCTGAGATCCGGCTACTGCACTCCAGCCTGGGTGACAGAGTGAGACTCCGTATCAAAAAAAAACAAAAAAAATGTACCAGGTATTGTTGTAAGCTCTTTGACTAGAGAATCTCATTTAATCTCTACCACAATCCAGTAGGATAGGTAGTATTATTTCCATTTCACAGATGAGTGAACAGAATAGTGAACAGGTTTATGGCTTAATGGTAGTAGCAAAGTCCTCATTCCCAGAAGGCAAAAGAGGTTCTGTTTTACCCTGCTGGTAGTAAGAAAGTGGACCAGCTGAGATTTGAACCCAATCGATGCAACTCCAGTGTGCTGAACCACTACAACAGGTCAAACCATTTTGAAACTTCTGGCCCTAATATCTCAATAGAGATACTGAGACTAGAGTCTATTATGGTATGCTGTTTCATACAGTGTTAGGTGTCTAATAATAAATATACCTATCATTTATTGAATAGCTACTATGTCCCATGCAGTGAAGTACCTAGTGTATTGTTAGTTTTTGAATAATTAATGACTAGTATCAATATATAATATTACCCCTATCTTTGAAGAGGAATATCATAGAAATATTATGGTATATGCAAAGGAAAGGATATCATCTCTAGGAATTTTCAGTAAAAGACTGGCAAGAATAAACATATGTGAACTTGTAATTCTTCATGAATAATAGCATTCCTTTTTTTGACCCATCCTAAAAATACCCAGATTAGAAAGTTACATTTGGTAAATATTTTACAATCATTTCTTATTTACTCATTGCTTACCCTGCACACTAGGTCAATATGCCCTACTGTTTTATGGTCAGTTATTCAGTGACAGAAAGATTATTTTGACAAAGATCTGGTAGTAACAATTGTGCACACTTACATTTTGTAAAATCTGGGAATAATGTTTAGCCACAAACTTGTTCACTATTCTGCTGTTCCTTGTCAGCAACAAGAACACCTTTGCAAAGACAAACAAAATTACATCTTACTATAGTATCAGCTACCTAGGAATAGATTACATAAAGATAATGGATTGAATAGATTGATGCAATTTTAACTCCCTCTAGGATGATATTGAAGAAAACAATTTTTATCCTTCACCATTTCTGGGCTGGGAATGGTGATGAGAGGCTTGCTTGAATTATTCAAGTAGAGCTTTTTTATTACCAGTGATTTCTAAGCTTGACCTTTTCAAGGAACAATGCATATCTGATGATCTCTTGGGATATTCTCATTATTTAATGTATATAGCAATATTAAATTATAGATAGTATTGAGTGCTAAGTATGCCAAGTACTGTGAAAGCCTATTACACTTATTCAGTTAATCTTTACAACAACACTATGAAGTATGTTTTACTCTTTTTTATAATTTATTAAGTGAGGACCCAGAAACTCAGAATACATAATTTGCCCTGGGTCACACAAATGCCACCACCTTTGAACTTAGATATGAAGACTACCCTCTAGAGTTGGTAGAGCCGTGGAAGTAGCCTATGCCCCTAAATAAAGTAGAGCTGTCAAACCAGTTCTGGACCACTTACGTGGTGTATATGTAAGTTTAGTAGCCAGCTTCAAAGATAGCCCTCAATTAATCCCTGCGTTTATTAGGTACACTGTTGTGTAAGTAATCCCCTCCCACACTGTACTGGGGTTGTTCTGTACCACCAATAACATAGGCATGAATGATGGGATGTCTCTTCTGAGATTACATTATAAAAAATTGACTTATCTTGGGTTTGAAATCACTTGCTCTCTCTCTTTCTTGGCCCTCACCTTGAGGAAAGCAAGCTACCATATTATAAGTAACCCTATAGAGAGTACCATGTGGTGAGGACCTGAGGTCCTTATTCTAACAGCCTATAAGGATGTGAGGCCTCCCAACAGCCACTTGAGTGAACCTGAAAGCAAGATCCTTCAGTCCCAGGTTATGTCATTAGATGATCGCAGCTCTGGCTGCTAACTTGACTGCAGCCACATGAGAGAACCTGATCTAGAATCACCCACTAAGCCACTCTGTAATTCCTGATTCTCAAAAACTGAAATAAAGCCATTTAAGTTTTAAAGGGTGCTTAAGCCATTCAAGTTTTTGGTTAATCTGTTATGCAACAATAAGTAACTAACACATGAGAAAAAGGAAAAAAAAGACCCTATCTTGTTTAAGGCACTGTTATTTTCTATTTTCTGTCACTTGCAACTAAATGTAACAAGTCCCTTCTCCAGTTAATTTGTAGAATTAACCTAAAGAAACAGTTTTGAAATACTATTCCTAAGGTTCCCAAACACTGAGAATTGGCAGAGACCAAAGAGAACATCATGTCCAATCTGCTCATTTTACAGGTAAAAGTAATAGCTAACATTTAGTGCTTCCTATGCCAGGCTCTGCTAAATTCCATAAAACAGTTAATTCTCAGGATACTTTGTGAGGTGGAAACTCACTATCCCTTTGCAGATGAGGACACTGGTTCCACACTCCAACCCAATTTTGCTTTACTGTCTCTTCACTGTAAGAGAACACTTTTAAAACAGTGCAATTACAAGCACATGCCAAAGTTTTGTTACAACCCCGCACACAGGGGAAACACCTATAGTAGTCCAAAGAATCACCTTGGTAGAGACATTTTAGGGAAAGAGAATGGAACTAATCACAGTTAAATCGGTTACACAAATAACATAATGATTCATTAAAGGTTACGTAACTCTTTTTTTGAAACAGAGTCTTGCTCTGTCACTCAGGCTAGAGTGCAGTGGCTTGATCTAGGCTCACTGCAACCTCCTCCTCTCAGGTTCAAGTGATTCTCCTGCCTCAACCTTTCCAGTAACTGGTACTACAGGTGTGTGCCACCATGCGTGGCTAATTTTTGTATTTTTAGTAGAGATGGAGTTTCGCCATGTTGCCCAGGTTGGTCTCAAACTCCTGACCTGAAGTGATCCACCCACCTCGGCCTCCCAGAAAGTGTTGGGATTACAGGCGTGAGCCACCGTGCTGGGCCACCTAACTCTTCACTGACTTATCTGGATGACTGGTGACTGATTTCCCATAACAAGTCAGCCCGAGAAAGTCCTTTTTACACGTGTTGTAGATTAATTAATATGTATTCATAATTTAGCACCTTTTATCACTCAAAAGTGTCCCAGACCAAGTCTGCACAGTTGAGGAAATGAAGGTTCCAGAATGGCCAAGTGATTTGTCCTAGATCTTGTGGGTACGTAGTGAGAACTGGGATTAGAGTTCAAATCAATGTTTTATGTATTAGCCAGGCTATTAGTCAGTGAACACAAATGAGATGTATACATGACATCTCTATTTTTAGGTAGCTCTCCGCAGAGGTGTCTTGTGTAATTGGGGATGTTTTTGTACTCTGTTTTGAGTTTTTAAAACAATGTCAGAGGCTGGGTGTGGCAGCTCATGCCTATAATCCCAGTGCTTTGGGAGGCCAGGTAGGAGGATTGCTTGAGGCTGGGAGTTCAAGATCAGCCTCGGCAACATCATGAGACCACACCTCTACAAAAAATAAAAATAAAAAATTAGCCTGGTGTGGTGGCACATGCCTGTAGTCTTAGCTATTCTGGAGCTGAGAAAAGAAGATCATTTGAGCCTAGGAATTTGAGGCTGCAGTAAGCTATGATTGTGCCACTGCACTCCAGCCTGGGTGACAGACTGAAACCCTCCTAAAAAAGAAAAAAAAAAAAAAAAAAAAAAGTCAGAGGTAGGGAGGAAGGAAACAGAACTGATACTTTCCTAATACTTTTTTTTCCTCTCTGTAGGCAGGGATTAAGCAATTGCCTGCCAGATTTCATCATTACAATGAATGTAACTCTGACACTTTACAGGAAACTTATCATTTCTTTCCATTCCAGAAACTTGTGATACTTTCTCACTACATGGTGCAAACAGCTGAGTCAAGTTGTCCTTGAGAGTAGCCACCTTTCCCTCAGGTCATACACATGGAACCATTCTTTCTCCCTACAACTCAGCCCATTATAGAGCCTTTGACTGAAAATCAAGATTTTGGTGTTCACTTGGCAATATTTACTACGAGGTAAATGACACAAGGTAGGTGACACAAAGGTATATTTGGGAAATGGAAGGCTCATCTCTGTCTGAAAATGTTGTAAGGAAACTTTATGGACCACTATACACATTATATCTCCAGATTTAAAATGAAAGAAACTATGGTTTTAGCATTATTTAAACTTCTCTTCAAAAGGAGATCTAAGGAATGCGACTACTCTATATTTGAACAGTTAACGTAGTTTGTGGTGCAGCTCACATTCTCCTGGTAGAAGGAATTGGAAATCTGAGTAAAGAGGTTCCCAGAGCTGAATTTCACCCAGTACCCAGTTTAGGAATCAAGTTTTGCTTATGAGGTCAAAATGAGAACCCTTTAAAGGAGAGTAACAATTGTTGAAAGTAAGAAGGACGTTAAATACAGCTTGTTTGGGTTAGTTTTCCTTAAAAACCATATATGTATATTACTGAATAACAGGAGTATTTTGGCTTGTAAAAACTTTTCAAATTATCATTCATGCAGCAAGAAATATTTTATGCTTGCTATGTATGCCTACTACTTGTTCAGGGAATGTAGATAAGCATTATTACATAATGTCAGGTACTTAAAATGGCTAAGAAATTATTTTACTGGATACCTTTTCATTTATGACATTCTGATTTTTTGTCGTTAAATATATTTAGTTAAAGCACAGGAGGGACTGGAATTAATGAGGAAGAAACATTGATCACTGCAGCTCATTCAGAATGGGGTGGATAGTATGAAACTTTGAATCTAAAAGCTGGGAGATTTCCAAGAACAGTAATCTGTATTTATTCAACTTTATATCTCAAGCTCCTGCTGCATAGTGGGTGTCCAATTTAATGCTGAATATGAGAAAATTAAGTCTCTGGAGTCCCAGATGGATAATTTTTCTGAATATTTAATGCTGAGCTTAAGGGCCACTTCCACCAGAAAGCCCTCTGTGGCTATCTAGAAAGTTGATTAAGACCATCCTATATGTGCCCATCTTAGTCCGTTTTCTGTTGCTTATAACAGAATACCTGAAACTGGGTAATTTATAAAGAAAAAGAATTTATTTCTTACAGCGTGGGGCTGAGAAGTCCATGGTCGAGGGGCTGCATCTGACGAGGGCCTTCTTTCTGGTGGCGACTCTGCAGAGTCCCAAGGCAGCGTAGGACATTATATGGTGAGGAACTGAGCATGCTGGCACAGGTCTTTCTTCCTCTTGTAAAGCCACCAGTCCCACTCCTATGATAACCCATGAGTCCTTTAATCCATGAATGAATTAAGCCATTCATGAGGGCAGAACTTTCATAACCCAATCACCTCTTAAAGTCCCCACTTCTTAATATTGCCTTATTGGGGATTAAGTTTCAGCCTGAGTTTTGGAAAGGACAAACATTCAAACCACAGCAATTCCTAAATCATCTTAGCTGGCTGCAGCAGTTGTCGATTGACTATTTTAATGGACAGTAAGGATCAGCTCTGGTACTGAGAGAGGACTATGATTCCAGCTGGGTCAAAATGGAAACATTCTTTCATTGCTTGTTTTCACAACTAATCTGCTATTGGGGAAAGTGCTGTGTCACATACTCAAATAAACGGAGTTAAATGCCTTAGAATTGACCTTCCCTGGCCAGTAACCCTTTCCAGGGTTCCCAAATTAGGCTTGGAAACTACTATAGAAGAGGCCTATTGATAACGGAAGAAGTTATATTTTTAGGTTGCCAGAGACAGAGTGAGAGTAGGTAAGAGAAACGACCAATTCTACCAGTCATTCTACAATGTGGGTTTTCACTGCTCTGTTCACATGCGTTATTCAGACTTCTTGTGGTGGTCAATTGCTAGATGGTCTGTTGGAATTATCTGCTGTCATACATCCAAAGAGGTCTCAAAGAGAGTTAAAATGACAACCTTAGCCTTTATAAACGTTCCAATCTGCTGTAGTTGCAGTAACCTGTGGTGATGATACTACATTGATCAATGACCTCTCTAGAGCTAAAGTTCAGTATAAGTCAGTCATTTATTTTGGATATATCAGGTGATTAATTGCTACATCATTCAGCGTATGGAGCTAATGTTAACAGCTTTCCATGGGAAAAATTACTCACAGGGCTTACTTTTAAAATCACTTTCTTTCTTTCATTTTGTCATCTAAAACAAATTCCTTGAAAAGGCCAGTGTCCAAAGTGGCTGCTATTACTTTTCAGCTGACTATAGAGCTTCAAATCTGGGTGACAGTGAAACTGTGTGGATGGGCTTTTTTTGTTCTTGTTGCCAAATACCTTTTTAATGTGTCTGGTTCTAGAGATGGATACACTAGTGAACAGCACAAACACAAACAGTTGATTGGAGAAGACAACATAGCATATTAAACGTTAGTAAAAATGAGGAAATTACACAGTGCTATGAACTATCCTCATTCTTTTTTCCAACAAGTATTTACCGCATACTCACTTTATGACAGACATCATTCTAAGTGCTCAGGATAAAACAAAGTGCATGTTCTCATGGAGTTCATTTCTCTATATAACTGGTTAACCTGAGGTCTGATTCTTCATTCCAAGATAGCTGGAGTGAAAGATTAGCATGAGGTAAAAAAATAGAGGGTAAATAAGAAAATGCTCTCTGCGGGTTATTAAAAAATATAGAGGCAAAGTCCTGGGGAAAGAACAGAGAAAGAGAGCGAGAAACAGGGTGAAAGGGAGAAGGAGGAAGAGAGAGTCAACATCTTTATGAAGGACTTTATTATTCTATTTCTTAAGCATTATTCCTGCTTCTTAAGACACATTGTGTATAAGCCATCTCTGTATCCCAACTAATGCAATGCCTGTGGGGGTATTGTCAAATCCAGATTTATATGACCAGATTTTTCACTTACTAATTTCTGGGACCCTAGGCAATTACTAGAATGTCTTGAAGACCTAATTTCCTGCAGCACTACCTCACAGAGTTGCTTTTAAAAAGTATTGATAGCTTACAGACGGTACTATTATAAGTGCTTCAAATATATAAACTCAATCCTCATAAAGATTCTGAGGTAGGTATTACTAGCCTCATTTCATGTAAGAACAAACTGAGGCACAAAGAGGTCATATAGCTTGTTAACGGTTGTATAGCTAGTGTCTGGCAAAACCAGGAATCTTAACTTCATTTCCAGAGTCTGTGGTTTAACCACTGTTTACACTGACTGTCTATAATAGCATATAGTAAGATAAGATTAGAACTAAATAGGGTGCATTCCACTGCAAAGTTCTTTCTCACCTCCTTCTACTCCATTATTTGTTGAATATTTACTGATCCCCATGTTGTCTTGCAACTGTGATAGATAATAGAGAACAAGGGTGAACACAGCATATCTGGTTCTTGCTCTCCTGGAGGTTCTGGCCATTACGCAAATAACAATTCCTCTCAAGGTTCTCAGGCTTCCCTGTTTTCTCCTGTTTCCCTGTCTGCCCAGCAGTACTCCAGCCAACCAATCTAAGACTGACAAGCGTCAGCAGAGAACAGGGTCTCCAGGAGGTCTGTGGCGAGGGCCAGGCTATTTATGGGGAAGAGACAGACATTTCCCTGGTTTAGTGATCTTGTTTTCTCTCCGAACCTCCGCTTAAAATGGCGGGATTTGTACCAAGGTTCTTTACCGCACTAACCTTCCATTATTCACCCTTCTTCCCACCCCCAAGGCCCGTCGGGCCTATCCCTGACCCGCGTTCCAGCACTTGAGGTGCATTTCCGCACCTGGATCCCCAGATACTGTTTTTCCCCGCGTTGACACTTCCGAATTCCACCAGGTCTCTCTCTCGCGGTCTCTGCCCCGCCCCTCGCACCCAGGCCCCGCGCCCGCGGTGGGCTGCCGCCCGGGACCGAAGCTCTCAGAGCCCGCAGCCCTGGTTCACCAACCGCTGGGCGGGAGCCAGGCCCGACCTTTGACTGGCGGGCGGGGTGGTCTGCACTTGGCCCCAGAAAAAGTCTGGCACGGGCCAATCGCAGGGAGGCAAAGGGTAGCTCTGGAGGTCCCGGCCAGACGCAGTGTTCACCCAGGCCAAGCAGGCGTCGGGGCCTGGGCACAGGCAGAGCTCGCGGCCCCGACTGCGGCCATTGTGCTTGGCTGCCTCTCCTCAACGCCTGGTGGGCTGGGCAGAAATGGGAGAAGCGCCGAGAACGCCACTGAAACGACTTTCCCCTACTCTCAGATACTGTGCTTTCATGTAGTGAAAGAGACAGGGTAAAGGTTTGGGTTCTTTCTGCTGCATAGGAAGAGGACAAGAAACGAAAAGAGTGGGGGCGGGAGGCAGAAGCCGCGAGCCTCTGCGCGCGCCCGGTCACGTGGGCCGCAGGGACCGCATGGCGGCGGCCTGCGCGCCCCCGCGTTCCTGCCGGCCAGGCTGACCGGGCGCGCGCGCCGACGGGGCGGGCGCATGCGCAAGGGGGCGCGCCGCCTCTGCCCCGCGGCGAGGGTGTCTATGGAGAGGCGGCGGCCGCGGCTGCTGAGGCGGAGGCTGAGGCAGTGGCGATGGCGCCCTTCCCTGAAGAAGTGGACGTCTTCACCGCCCCACACTGGCGGATGAAGCAGCTGGTGGGGCTCTACTGCGACAAGGTAACGGAGCGCCGAGCCTCCTGCTGTGGGCGGTGCGGGCGGCGATGGGGAGCTGGCTGGGTTACTGGGGCGGCCTGGCCTGTGCCGCGCCCGCAGCCCCGTGCCGTCGCCGCGCGAGTAGCCGCCTGCGCAGCTGTCAGCGCTGCCCGTTCCCGCAGCCTCCCCGCCCGCTGCGGGGCCCTCGCAGAGCCGGCCTCTCAGCCTGGCCGCCGCCTCGGACGTGGTCTCGGGGCGGGCGGCGTCCCCTGCCGAGGGCCTGGCGCCTGAGGAGGGGCGCTGCCGGGGTCACTGGCCGCCCTCGCGCCGGCCCCACCGCCGCCCTGGGCCTCCCGCTGCTGCCTCTAAGGAGAGCGGCCCTACCTCCCCGAAGCCCTGGGTGCCCCGGCCGGCCACCTGCGGTGGACTCCCATCCGCACCGAGCAGTTGTTCCCGTTCTCCGTCACTCCCCCGGGCCTGTTCGGGGCTCTCCGTGCAGACACCCACCCATCCTCTGAACCTCTCGCTGGCTTCCTGGCTGGAACTGCAGCGTCTCCCAGCTACCGGGTTCCTTTTACCCCCAGCTTTTTTCACTGGTTTGATTTTGGGGGAAAAGCCAAGTTTAGAACTGAAGAACCTTCACTCTTCATATGTCGTTATCGGTTTTTTTTGCAACTTTTATTGCCTTGACCACTTACTAGATGTAGATTTTGTTATAAGACAGCAATTCTTGGAATTCTTTACATAAGCTCGAATAAAGGGGGCCTCGGGAAAAGTTGGTTTAACTGTGAGAACCATTTTGGGCTCATAATTGGTGCAGCATAAGCTGAAGAGGCACTTGTGTGGAGATGATTCAGGGCCCTTTGCTAATGATTTTAAAACAATATTTAACATTCCACATATTTGTCAGTTTATGTTGGGGAAAGTCACATGGATATCTGCAAACCTCAGGCAGTCCCGTTTCTTGTGGAAATGATCCAACTACATAAAGCATTCAAATGACTACTGTTTAAGCATAGAAATCAACTTTTAGGAATTCTCAGAAATTGCATAGCATTATGCAGAACCATTGTCTACAGAAAAGAGGGGTGTTTCTTAGTTAAACCAGGCGATTGGAGAATGCCCAGGGTGTTCACTGCTAGGCCACACTCAAGACCAGCAATTTAAAGCAGTGACGTTGAATTTCAAATCTTAGCACTCCATCTTCTCCCTCCCTCCATTCTGAAAATTTAGAAATACCCAATTCACACGTAGTTGGAAACACCAGGACTGTCTAGGACAGTGGTTTGCAACCTCGGATGCTTATTAGCCTTAACCTAAAAACTATTAGAAATCCTGATGTTTATGTGACTAAAATTAGGATTTCACCCAGACATCAGGTATGGATGATTAAAGCTCTCCAGTTGAGTGCAGTATGCAGCTGAGGGTGAGAACCACTTATCTAGGAGAAGCATGAGGAATGGTTAAGCCATTAATGGAAAGGGTATATCCCTGAATTTTTTAGTTAGCAGTATTGTTGTGTTTTTATCCTCTCTGGCTTTTGAATTTGGTTCATTCAGACACCATTCTTTAATAGCAGGAAAGAAAAAAATTGGTCTCAAAAATCGAAAGTGGAAGTTGAGACTAACAGAATCCAAGTTTTCTCTCCAGTTTAAACTGTGGAGAGGTAGCCTAGGATCAACTGAAATTATATGGAGAATTTTGTGCATGTGCCCATTTTCCTAGGGGGTTTGTAGCTTTCATCGATTTCCAGATGATTGTGACCTCCCAAAATAATCACAATTTAATTTACTTGCAGACTAGGCTCACCAGCCTTATTTTAAAATTTTCAACAAGTTAGTCACTCTTTTTCTGTGTCTCTTCCTGGTGGTTGAGAATATTTGAACAAATTTTGAAAATGCAGTTGCTTTTTTACAAAATATCTGAGTCAAGTAAGATTCTTTTCAGTAATTTCCTATTTGCATAACTAGTTTAATAAAGCATTTTCAATTTGACATAGTGTAAGTCAAAATTATTACTAATTCTGAATTAATTAGATATAGTTAATGAGATTGTTGTATATGTTCATGAAGAAGATTAAAAGTCCAATTTTCTGAACTGAGACCGAGGAGATTTAGGGAAAAAAAAAACTGCATAGGAATTTTACATCCAGATTTCTTCTTGATAATGACAGCCAATGGAAATCTCTCTTAGGATGTCCTTTGGGAGCTAGAGTGGAAAATAATTATTTTGTAATGGCTCAGTAATCTTAAAGGAATTAAAGGAAGAGTACCTTGTTTGTTTTTATTCATTTATCATCTCACGTTTTGCCATTATCCTTTGGTTGTATAGACCAAGGATATCCCATTGAACACAGTTTACAATAAAACTATACAAAATGAGAACTAGTTTTTATGCTCAAACTAAAAAGGTACAAAATAGTTATTTCACTGTACTGTAGTCCAAATTTGGGCTCTGAATGCCGAGTTATTATAAAGAAGTCAGTTACTATTTTCAATACTGAACTTCTCAAGTACAATGTATTTTAGAAGCATCCATTTATTTGCTAGCATCAAGTAAACCACTTATATGCTTAAACTAGTTAGTATAATGTATTCCAAAGTTATCTTAGTCTACTTATTTTTTAGGTAGAAAGTTGAATAGGATGAGAAAATAAAACAAATTTTCAAAAGCTGACAGATGTATGTCTTAGACCATTTTAAATATTGCTGTCTAATACCTGATTTAATACTTTGCCCATAGATTTCTTTTTACATTTGTAAAAAGTTTTATGGAAAGGTTTTTCACCTTTGTTATCTAGACAACAGTGCTTTGAGTTATGTAAAGACAAAGTATTTCTGTTTTATTGCTGGGGACTTACAGGCCTAGATTAGCTAGGCCAAGGTTACATAAGCAGCTAGTGGTAGATCCGGATGGAAACCCAAGTCATTGTTAGGATTCCTAGTTTAATTTTCTTTATATTAAATCATAGTAGTTTATTTTTTGGGGAACAATGTGCTAAAAAATCTGCTAATTCACTGACCTTTCAAACTGGGATGATGTTAGTAAATATTTATATTGAATGACATCCTTTTTCCATTTTACTTCAGTTTATCAGTCTTTTCTCCAGTTCTCCAAGGTTAACGCCATTAATTCTGTCAGTGAGCATTGGAGTTTCTACCATCTACTCTGTAGTAGCTTGTACTACAGAAAGACGTTGGCAATGTGACATGTGGTCTCTACTCTCAAAAAGTTTACAGTCCAGTATGTAATAACATCTATGCTAGGATGGAAATCCAAACACGGTATAGTGGGAGCAAAGGGAGTTATGTGGTCAGTTCCACATTAAAATGTCAGGAGTGGTCTCTTTGATTTGATTTCTGAGGGAAGAGTAGGTTGTGGTTGTAAGGATGTGGTTAGTTCAGAGATTCCCAGGCTTATATATAAACCAGTTATTAAAAACTCAAGTAATGGAAGCCTTAAGGCGTGCCCAAATTTTTCAGGTAAGGGTATTAAAAGTGCTATTTACTTTTATTAAAGGATTTAATATATTTATACATTTATTTATACATATAGGACATTTTGTCACCCAAAACTCTTAAGTGGGAAGAAGCGTAGAGTAATTTGAATATATTCTTTTTTTAAAAAAATGAGTGAGTATAACTTTATGGTCAGTTTTCCTTCCCCACCTCCCGGCCCCCCACCCCTTTTTCTGCATACCTGTAACAATTTATTGACTGGCATTTGAGAAGATTGGCTTAGTGGAGAAAATATTGAATTGAGAGCTGTGGAAGAAGTAAAAGGGAATTTAATGAGTTCTTACTACATGTCTACATTGTTTCTTTTAATCTTCACAAGAACTACTTAAGACAAATATTATCCTTCATTTAAAGTTGAGGAAACAGCTTTAGTGGTTAAGTAACTTACCCAACTCATTCAACTAGTAATTAGTAGAGCCTCAATTTTAATCTTAGGATTTTTTTTCCCCTTCAGAAGCCCATGGGTTTTGCATTACGTTACTAGTTCGGCTACTTATTGGGAGCTCTATGATTTTATGCAGAACAGTTTACCTGTGGGTCATTTTTTCCATCTGTAAATTTGATCAGATACTTACTAAGGTTTCTTCACTAAGTATAAGTCTCCCTTGATTAAATTAAAGCATTGTCTGAGTGAGTAGACAAAAATGTATTTGGGTGAATAATATTGGTGTTTTTGTTATGCCATTTTTTTTTTTTTTTTTTTTTTTGAGACAGAGTCTTGCTCTGTCGCCCAGGCTGGAGTGCAGTGGCCGGATGTAAGCTCACTGCAAGCTCCGCCTCCTGGGTTTACGCCATTCTCGTGCCTCAGCCTCCCCAGTAGTTGGGACTACAGGAGCCCGCCACCTCGCCCGGCTAAGTTTTTGTATTTTTAGTAGAGACGGGGTTTCACCGTGTTAGCCAGGATGGTCTCGATCTCCTGACCTCGTGATCCACCCATCTCGGCCTCCCAAAGTGCTGGGATTACAGGCTTGAGCCACCGCGCCTGGCTGCCATTTTCTTATCTATTTTTGAATGTGCTATATTGTCTTTAAGTGACATACCACTTTTGAGAATCAGTTTGAAACCAGGCTGTAATACTTGATTTATCACTGTAGAATGTTTGAGACAGAAAGTCAGTTACAGGTTGGGCGCAGTGGCTTATGTCTGTATCCCAGCACTTTGGGAGGCCAGGGCAGGTGGATCATGAAGTCAGGAGTTCAAGACCAGCCTGGCCAGAATGGTGAAACCTCGTCTCTACAAAAAATACAAAAATTAGCCGGGCGTGGTGGCGGGGTCCTGTAATCCCAGCTACACGAGAGGCTAAGGCAGAATTGCTGGAATCCAGGAGGC